ACTTTCAGCCTACAGGATTAGATAGACTATGATAGATCACTGAACAAGAAACTAAAACTACTGAATTAGGGCCACTTTACTAATACAGGCTGGTGTTAGCAGCCTTGTCTCTTCCACCCTCCCCTCCCTACAAATTCCTTTAAGAATGAAGCTGGACTAATGTGCGTTTATTTTTCCCCCTATACAACTCTGTTGCATTAGACCGCTGATAAAAAAAACCCCAGATCTTTACTAAATCAAATTGTGCCCCTTCTCCCAGTTGTGTGAAAGCTGGACTGCCTCTTCTTACCCTGAGCCAGGGCCCTGTCTTTTCGTGCTGGACAGACATTTATTAAAATTAGTGCCTCCCACAACGGCTTGTAACTCTCCCTCAGACAATCAGCTTGGATAATAAGTAGCATTTGTCTGTGCTTTCACCTACTCTGACAAGGCTTCTCTGTCTGGTAGTTCAAACTTAACTACTTAGATTGATGTAGTTTCTTCTAGGCTTTTGTTGCCATGTACTTGCCAAAAATTAGTTTCTAAGTCTGACGGTATTAAAGTGTACTGGATTTCAGAGTGCTGCATCTAAGGGAGTCTTCATTCTCCTCTGGCATAATGTCTTCCCTGCGACCTGAAGGTCAATGTCTTTTTCCATTGCCACTTCTTCTCTAAAACATCTACTGTCCATCTGCACAAGCCCTAGCAATGAACGACTGTGTGTGGCTTTTTTTCTTTTTTTTTTTTCCTCCCACAGACCAGTGCCTTAGCTGACGTGCTTATACCAATTCCCCTGCTGAAACAAAGACTCGAGAGCAGCAAGATGCTTAGTTTCTCTAATGCCTAATGAAAGATTGAGGGAGCAAAACACATCACTCTAAAACATATGTTGTGTAATAATATTACTACATAACTTCATAAAGGTCTGGCAATTCTGCAGAGAGGAATCTGTCTCCTGTTCTCAAAGAAAAGAAGCATTGCTAGACCTGTGGATGCTAAGGGCTATCACCTGGGACAACGTGATATATATATTTTTACATGCTACCTCTAGTTACAGGTATAAAACCTCATTGAAGCCAGAAGTATGGGGAGAGAGGAGGCAGAACTTTATCTTTAATGTTGTTTGAATTAATACAAATGAGGAAGGAACCATTTAACCGCTCTCACCTGCCCACTGCTTGGAATGTGGAGCAAAAGGTCTTCTAAAAGGGAATTTTCATCCTTCTTTGATGTAATGACCTAACTGAGCTACTCTAAGTAAAAAGATGTTGTTCTCAATAACTGGAAGTCTCCTACTCAGTGCCTTTGTTCAAACTTGCCTGGTCACACGCAAAAGAAACAGATGTGACAGCAACTGCTGAATAATCACTCTGAGAGTCATCTAAAATGGAGATGATTTAAGGATGGAGCTAGTGTGCTTTTGCTTTTTATGTGGCCTGTCTTATTTCTGGGGTCATGCTGCTGGAGGCTTCTTGTCTTGCCTAGCTCTTTTTTCCCTATGCTATAGGCATCCATTTTCTAAGTAGCTGCTCACCTGTCTTGCTGTAAGACTGTGCACAAGTGTGCAGATGTGAAATACCCTGTCAAGTGATGTAGTAAGTCACTGAAAGCAGAGCTCTGTGGGCTTTCCTGCACCTGTGGGGGAAATCGAACCTGTCTTGCAATACATGTAGGGCAGAGTCTTGAACTGTGGATCTAGTTAAAAAAGTATCTCATCTTCATCTGGTTTTGCTGGCCAGAGGCAGCTGCTTTGCTATCAGTGCTTCTTCCTGCACAACTGCACCCGCAGCTGCTAGCTAGTGGGTTTTTTTTTATTATTATTTTTAATTTTATTTTATTTTTCCCATCTCTTTACTTTGTATCAAATCAGATGCTGAAGGAAACCTGGTCTTTGAAGGGCAGCAGGAGTGTAACTGGCAAGTCGCCCTACAGCACTGCTGGAACTGAATCTAGGTGATAGCTTTTCCTTGCCAGTTTGTCCAGTTGTACTGGAAGTCACAGCATCTTATCAGAGTTGTACCTTGTCTACCACAGAGGGCAATGCAGAAGATCATCCAGCTAGGGTGCTCTGAGCTCTGGGCTGTTAGCATCCCCAAATGCTATTTAGTCCTGCTGTACTGAGACTTCTTTCAGGGTGGTGAAAGTTAGTGGTTTTCTTCTCCAACTCCAAAAGAGTTTTTCTTCCCCTAAGTCATCTGAGCAGTGTAAACTCAAATTACCATACCATTGCCATGCTAATAGTTCCATGCATTACATTTTTAGGTATTTGAGAGGTCTTAAAAATCCCTGCTAAAGGGAATTACACATAGAAAGTATCTCGTGACATACTTAATGGCTGGTCACTTACCTTGTCTCTGCAGCCTTGAAAGACTTCTAGTCTTCTTGCCTGAGTATGAATTTGGCATACTGTGTTTGGATCTGTATATAAATAAGGCCAATATCAATGCTGATGATTCAACTATAAGGTGACTTCTAGGGCCATTATACAGCTCTCTTTTCCCCAGACACTGATGTTCTAAAATCACACGTCCATGTTTTTGCCTTTTTAGTCTTTACCTATTGTGTTATTAAGAGCAGTGTGCCAACAGATCTGAGCAAAACTGCATAATAAAGGTCTGCCTTCCCCAAAAATGCCATTGCTGGAGAAATTGTTTCTTTATATGAGTTTCTAGGAGAATCTTAAATAGTGCTGTGAATTACACTGTAGGGGAGTTGAGCAATAAAGAGGAGCTTGGCATATGATACCCTGTCCAGTACTGTAATCAACAGTATTGCAGTCTGTGGACACATGGCTGATAACTTGAATACCAGTTTTTAGTGGCAACTGCTATTCCCATCTGTTTTCATGTGGCTCTGAATAACTTCATTTGATACTTATGTTCACTGTTTCTTTGTACGTGTTGGAATGCAGCCTACTGCAGAAAACATGTAATTCAAATAACTTTCCCTAGGGAAATGGGATCTTTTGAATGCATTCTCTTTTGTTTTTTTTTTCCCCCCACATCCCTCACAGCCAGTTAGTTACAGAACCTGTCTAATACCAGAAAGAAATGTAGAGCAGAGAAGTCTTTGGTCCCTTCCTTATAAATATGGAGGGATTGCTGTTCACCACCAGTTTTTGAAGTTGTAATGAGAGTAGAGGGAAGGGTAGGGAAGATAAAGGTTTGAGAGTATTTACCAGACATACGGAAAATGTAGAGTGCAGCCCTGCCTACCCCTTTGCTGTTTCCAGGATTATCTTGTCTCTATTTTTTTGGGAACAAAAAATTGGTTGCTATGAGTTGTCTCAGTAAATTTCTCCAAGCTAGCTGTGACATAGAGGTGACTTCTGCTTTAAGAATCTTGTATGTCCAGTAGTACCTATATAAACCAGGCACTAGTGTGGTCCAGTCATGAGTCACCCTTCTACTCCTGCTGCAAAGAAGCACAAATAAAACTGATTTCTTTCCAGAGCAATGCTGTTCACTTTTTCCAGCCTGGAAACTTAAGATTGACAATTCAGAGCTAAAAATAATCTGGCTGGCTACAGGGAGTGACTCAGATGCAACAAGCAAGTCTGCCCTATCACCACTTCCAAAAAGCCCTGTTGGCTTTTCAGCATGAGTAGCAGAAGCAGGTGGGAAACTAGTCTAAATTTTAATCTCTTGCCATCCAGTCATCCTGTCTCCTATTGGCACAACTGACTTAGAGAGAGACTGGCTCTTGATTCTTTGAAATAATTCTTGGGGGTTCTTCCTTCTCTAGGAAAATGCTCTCTGGCGCTGCAGGTAGAGCGTTGGCATACCAGTAGTCCAGCAACAGATTTCTTCTGCCTGTGCCGGATATGAAGCGCAGACCACAAACCATAGCATCCTCCTCAGCAGTGGGGTGGGGTGGTGAGTCAGTGTGTCTGTTAGCTTTGGAACAGTACAAGCAAAGCCTACAAGAGGAAATCTTGACTGCATCTGGCTTTATCGGGGCAGTGTTATGCTGCTGTCATAGTTGTAATGGCTCAGAGCCCTCAGCTGCTGTGTGATAAGGTCAGTGCACATACAAGCAAGTAAGTCAGAATGCACATGGAATCACATAACTTCTTACTATATAAGTGAAGTATAATAGAGCCTGGTCTTTGTGTGAGTACAGAAACAAGCTAAGCAAAGTCGCTGATGAAAGCTTGGCTCCAAACAAGCTCTAAATACTTGGGAAAGTGGTTGGAGCAGGTGATGTTCTTGCCCTGGTCAAAAAAAGGGACTTGCTCTTTATACTCGATGGCTTGGTTTGCTTGGCAACTCTGATAACAATAATAGAACACAAACCTCAACCGTGACCCTCTTGCCGTGCCTGGGTCGTCTTCTTGCAAGACCTTTGTCCCATTCTCCAGTTCCTTCTGACTCTCAGGCATGCTTGGGACTGGGCTTACATCTGTTGTGCTGATGGAAGTAAGCTCCTTGTGCAGGTTCATGCAGTTATTTTGTTTGGATGTAAACCAATAAGAAGACTTATTCAGAAATAAGAAATAGTGAAGTAACTTCCTCTACTCGACTTCCTTTACTCAACTTTACCCTCCCTGCCTTTCCCATTTTGCAAACCTAGACAGGATAATATGAAAAGCTAGTTCATCTGAAGGCCTAGACTGAGCCTAGTTTTGGTCATGTGTAGGGTAAAGATCAACCCCTTGGGCAACTTATTGTTGGCTCCATCTGGTCTCGCATTGATTGCACAGGTAGGCGGTAAGTGCTGCTATTGATGAGGTGCTGCAGAAATTCTCATTATCCTGAGCTATGCTCAAGAAGAGGACACAAAGACAAGATTGTCTAAATTCACTGCTAAAGGTTGTTTGTTCAGTTGCACTTGTTGCTTTATTTAGCTTCTGCCTAAAAATCAGAGGTTGATAAAGGTCTTGACAGCAACAACTGACTTTTTAGTGCCTTACCCTCCCTAGTAACAGATTATCAGTGAGACAGATGTTTGCTATATGGACACAAGTCATGAAGACTCTGAAATGGAACACTTTATTCTTTTTTCTTCCCTCTTCTCTGCAGATTTCTGAGTCCCCTGAATATGCTTATTGGTGGTACTGTGGTGGTGCTGGTGTTCATGGGCTTTGTCTGGGTATCACACAACAAGGATATACTCCGCAGGCTGAAGAAGCAGTACCCAACCACATTCGTAGTGGTCATCATGCTGTCTAGCTACTTCTTGATCTCCTATCTGGGAGATGTCATGGTCTTCATGTTTGGGATCACGCTTCCTCTCCTCTGTAAGTATTTTTCCTCTTCCCTGGGGGGCTAGGAGTGTGTGACTTGAGCTTTCTCAAACAGATCTGCAGACTATAAATTGGCTGTTGCCTTTACTGTCTCTATTTAAATAATCCCAAAACAAAACTGGAGGGGAAGGGGAGACACAAAACAGCAAAAGCCATCTTTAATGTTGTTATTAAATGAATACCTGCAGTTACTTAAGCGGTCATAGAGACTTCTTCATCTTATAGTCATGCATTAGAGTGTCTTAAAATGAGTGCTGCAAGAGCTATGCATGCCTTGTGCATTAACAATTAATAAGTGTGTTTCTATCATGCAGTGATGTTTGTCCATGCTTCTCTGAGGCTCCGAAACCTAAAGAACAAGATGGAGAACAAGATGGAAGGAATAGGCTTGAAGAAGACTCCGATGGGCATCATATTGGATGCTCTAGAACAGCAAGAGGATAGTATCAACAAACTGGCTGACTACATATCTAAAGTGAAGGAGTAAGAAGCTGCAATGTGGCGTTTTTACCTGTTGCAGGAGTGTAGTTGCTATTTACTATTGTTCAAGCTTGCTTTCAGTTTGTGTACAAAACAAGAAATGCACGTGGTACAGATTAATAATTGCAGGGTACAGGTATTCCAAGATTTTCAGGGCTCCTCTAAGAACATAAGAGCAGCAACTTTTTTCTATTGTATAGCAAAATGTTCTGGTGTTTACACAAATGCATACTAACTTAAACATGTTTGCTTGTCTCTTCTTCTGGAGGGTAGAGGAGGAAGACATAGAAACCTAGGGAATGCAGTCTGTCCAACTGTCTTGTAGCAAATTTGTCTATTAAAAGTAACAGCCCTTTCATCTCAGTTCTACAAGATGGCAGTTTAGCTGGTTTATGCTGGGTAGCACCTTCAGGCTGGCATGTTCAAGGTGAGCTGGAATGTATGAAAAGTAGGTCTCTTACATCCTCCAAAGCCCTCACCTTGAGTAGTCTGCATCAAGACCATGTTGCTAGCTTAACTGGCAAGTGGTAAAACTGTGCACTACTTGTGACAAAGATGGGTTCCTGTCCTCACCTTACATTCCTCCTTTGCAGCAGGGAAACAATCTAAATAGATCTAAGCATGAAGAATCTATACAGTTCCAGTAAAATGCACCTTTTGTTCTCTCTGAAATCTTTATCTGTAGAAACTGCTCCTCTTGGCAGGACAGCCAAACTTCCTTGCATACCAGCTAAACTATGGCTAAGTATGAGAGGAGGAGAAGTTTTCAGGTATGTTGGATGAGCTAGGTTTCCACCCTATTGATGTTTTAAAATACTGCTACTTTAGGACTTGTTCTGCTTTAGTCTGTATAGGCTGTTTTGTAGATGGAGGTACATGTGTGTTCTAAAGCATGGGTCATCTTTTTCTTTCTTCTTAACCAGAATGCAAAGATATAAGTAAAACATGCATCTCACCGACTCTGTACTTTTGACACTCTTCAAAGGAATAAACTGGATTTCAGGTTTACAAGTAAAGCAATAAATATCAAGATACAGTTTTTGGAAACCCATTCCAAATTCATGAAGATATTTGCCTGTAACAACTCCTGAAAGTGGTGTGTGGGATTCTTTTATATACAATATATTTTAACTGCCAGCTCTGATGGAATTACCTTGATAACAGGAGTTTACCAACAATGGGAGAGAAGAATTGTACAGGTGATACTCCATTTCAAATATTCTTGCATTTCTCTTTTCTAACAAAGTAATCAATTTAACAAAAAGGCAAGGATCCTTAAAGTTGAAGCTTTTATGTAACTTACCATGCTGTTTTCATAGTGGACTGTGTAGAAATCTGAACATGTCATTCCATTTAAGTGTTAAAGTGATCAGTATTTATTGCAAGTGTCTGTATATTCCAGCTGAAGAGTCAATGGCCTGTTCTTCACTCGTAGCGCATGGTCTTTGTTTTTCAAAAACTGTTTCCACACTTAAAGAACGTAGTAGCCTATGAGTTCATCATTACTGTAGAATTTTAAAAACTGCACAGTTATGAAGAAAAATAAACTCTAATGGTGATTACTGAAGGCGTTTATTTCAGGTTGGGAAAAGAGGCTGGAAATTTGAGCTTGTCTGTTACTGTGGCTGGTGGAACTCCCTAGAGTGATGGTGGGAGATCAGCTGTCACGCTGCAGCTTGTGCCACAAGCCCGTACTTGTAATGAGCTGCTGCCTTTGAATGCTCTGTACTTGTAGTAATTTTGTTGAGGCACGAGGGGCCTCTGGGCTGCAGGAACGTTACATCCTTGCTCTTGCATCCTTACAAAGGCTTTTCTACAGAGGTGGAGTACTTAAGCATTTGTTCATGCTGTTTCAGTCTCTTATATAACTCTACTTAACAGGGATTTTACATTTCTTTTAATTACCTGAGAGGGATTTCTGCTTCTAGGATTACTGGGAGCTGTGATGGGAAGCCAAATCTGCTGCGGTCAAAGTAATGGTGCGATCTCGATATGTGGCTGCCTCCCTCCTCCTGTGATCACACAAGAGGCTGCTTGGTGGGAGAATATGGATCAGAGCAGGGCTTCCCAGGCCCTGCTGTGTATACCCTGGTGATACGTGTCAGCTGCTGCAGCACTGCTGCTTTAGCCACTTCTAGGTGCAGCAGTAATTTCTGCCTGGCAGCTTGATGGCGATTGTAAAAGGCTGTATTTTATTTTCCTCTGTACTTCCCTGTCTGAGCTGCAGTAGCCTGACCTTGAACTCAGTATAGCTTTCTGGGGGAGCTGCTGTTTGCGCTTGTCACTTGCTGCTGTGCTCTATGTGAGGGCTTGGTTAAAAGTACCAAGTTCCTTCCCTTTCCTGCTTACTACCCTTTACAAAAAGAGAGGGCTGTATGAAACCTGCAATGAAAACGTGACTTCCTTTTTTATGTCTCTGCCACGCAGCAATGGCTCTCCCCTGTCCCTTACAGATACTTAAAAACTACTTGCTATGTCTTGGGGAACCTGCTTGCTGTATTGCCTAAGTTGCAATTACAGTTGCAGACTGGAACAGAGCTGAGAAGGAGCTTTACAAGTTTGGAAGGTGGAGATTTGAAAGAGACCGGGTGACAGAGGGAAAAAGGACAAGGATAAAGGAAAACTTGAACCAGTGCTAGTGGAGACTACTTTGGATTCAAAGAGGTCCTGGATGTTGCTGATAGTACAGGACTATTATAATAAATGCGGGAAGGGGGGAGCAGGGTGGGACTGGGATTTAGCTGCCAGGGGAAGATTGCTAAGAGTTATAGACAGGAGCAAAGAGAGACTCACCTGAAGGAAATCCTGCCAGGATCCTGCAAAACTGCCTTCTGAGCAAGTGTATCAGCCACGGGAAGGCAGGGGAGCTGCACATTAGCAAAGGGAAAGGCTTTG